ATATGGTGACAAACTTTATTGGCTTGGGATGCACAAAGACATCGAGGATATGGTGGCAAAATGCGACGTATGTCAGCGACACAAGTGCTTCACGACACCAGGAGGGTTACTACAAACATTAGCACTACCGGGGAAGATTTGGAAAGAAGTGATGATAGATTTCATCAAGGAATTGCCACGGTCAAAAGAATTCTGAATGATCATGGTGGTCGTAGATCGCTTGAGTAAGTATGTACATTTCATTCCCTTACGACATTCCTACACAGCGATCTCAGTCGCGGCGGTGTTTATCAAGGAAGTGGTCAGTTTGCATGGAGTACTGAAATCGAATGTTTTAGATAGAGACAAAGTGCTCCTCAGTCACTTCTGGAAATAGTAATTCAGGTTGCAAGCAACAGTCCTCAAGAAGAACATTGCATATCATGCCCAAACTGATGGACATACGGAGGAGGTCAGCAGGAGAGTGGATGAATACCTGTGTTGTTTTGTATCTGATAAACCGAAGCTATAGGTCAAGCGGATTGCATGGGCCAAATATTGGTATAGCACGTTGTACCACACCGCATCACAGACTACCCCTGTCAAGATTATTGTATGGGTGAGATCCACCCTCACTTGGTACATTATGAGCATGGCGCCACACCAGTATATAGCGTGGATCAGTACTTGGAAGAGAGGGACGTGAAACTAGCAGATCTCAAGGAGCATTTATTAAGGGCTCAACAAATCATGAAGAGGAAAGTAGATGAACATAGGAGAGAGTTGCAGTTTGAACCAAATGACATGTCTGCTTGAAGCCAAGACCCTACCGACAGAAGATATTTATCAGGAGGAACTTTCACTACGATACTATAGACCGTATGAGGTGAAAGCATGCATCGGGGAAGTGGTTTATCGTTTGAGGTTACCACCATCATTCGCACTACACCCAGTCTTCCATGTGTCACAACTGAGACGTGCAATTAGAGATCATAGACCCTCACCTACACTACTACCAACGCTGACAAAAGACCTTGAGTTGATTTTGGAGCCATTAGAGATCAAAAGAGTGCGCCGAGGAGTAGGGGGAGCAAACGAGATACTAGTTAAATGGAAGGGGCTACCGGATTATGAAGCAACATAGGAGCCTTACGAGGTGGTACACAAACGGTTTCCATCATTCCACCTTGAGGACGTTGTGTCTTTTTGAGAGGAGAGTAATGTTATGCAGAAGCCGACACTCCCTGGACCAGCTGAAGGTAGCGTAACCAGCCCACAGACAGGCCAGTCTTGGCGACAGAAAGAAGCAAGGCGAACTGGGAGAGCTGCAGAAGAAGGAAATGGAAGAGTGGGGTCCACTAAGGCCATAATCACCTATGTAAGGAGGAAACATTAAGAGATTTTTGAGGGAAAATATAAAGAAAATTTTTTGAAATGCTGGGAGGGGTTTCTGTTAAAGGGAGAACCAAAAGTTTGCTTTCTTTATGCATGTTTTTGTGTGATTGTTGTTTTCATTTCTTCTTGTGGAGTTACTAGCGACATCTAGGTTATAGGAGAGTCAATCACCTCTTGAAAGTAGATCAACCTTGTATCTTGTGTGTTTTCCTTTTATTTTGTAAGAGCAGCCCTTGTTTGTGTTTCTTTCACCTATTTATCATTGTTTTGTGTGGTTAGTTCGTTGATTTTGGTGTCGAAGCTATCAAATTGGTATCAGAGCATAGATCTTGGTGGGATGGAAGCAAAGAAAGTTGGTGTGCTAGAATGAGGTAGAGCAAAACAGATCAGGAATGGAAGAAAGGTTCGCGACCATGAGAACAATTTTTCTTCTATTGAAAGCTGAATGAATGATAGATTTGAAGACATGGGAGAAATGCGAGAGATGATGAAAAAATCATGGAGATGTAATACAGGGTCCTGCCGACCACTCCAGTTGCAAACCCTAACCAAAGGTTGATCAGGTAATACATTGGTCAGGTGAAAAGGGAAGGAGGTCGAGCAAGAAGATACCGAAGAAGACAACATCTACCTACAAAAGCGTCCCCCTAAGAATCCGAGAGGAGAGAGAGTGGAGACTTCCGATGGAAGGGATTGGGCTAAAAATTGGAGAAGAGATGAAGGGACACGGAAGAGTATGATGGAGGAAGAAGGGAATCAGGAGTGGGTTATGCCTATAACCGCAGGAGAGAGTTTCACCCTAGATACATGAGGGGAAATTCCCGATCGAAAGGAAATTGGAGTTGAGAGTTTCACCCTAGATTTATTTTGATGTCGAAGTCACAATGTCCGCCATAAGTGGGCTCTTCTATTGGCCTCAGATATTGAATTTTGAAGCGGCATGTTTGGTATTCCTCGTTGTTGAGGTCCACCTTGTGGAACGGATTCAGATCTTCATCTCTATCTCACCTTCGACTTTCTAGATTGCGATCGAGGGTATTCTCCCCCAAGGTTCCATCATCCATTTCTATCAGTCTCAGTTGTAGACGACGGATCTCCCGTTGTACTCCTCCCGATTAGGGTCCGACATGTACCTCCATAGTGGTATGATTAGGTTTTGGGTTTAGAAGGGGTAGTTGATGAAGAGAGAAAAGAAATATATTTTGGTAGAGCGGTAAGGGCGGATGCTGCTCTATAATAGGACTAGGCTAGACTAACTCTAATACCAAATGATATCAAGGTAACCCTAAAAAAGGAGCAAAAGTGATTTACTATTGCTGGAATCCAGATAGAACATAACAAGTGTTCATAAAACTGGAAATAAATTGACACAAACACAAACAGAGCCCCGGGGCGAGGGTGAAGGTGATGAATTACAACTGAACATAAGGTGGGGGGGATGATAGAGAGGCTATGGCAGCACTACAGAGGCTGCTGGGAGGAAGAGTGACAGCAAGGGATAAGCAGGAAAGGCTGGCGGGAGGAAGGGGGTGTGGTGGTCGGGAGGGCTGTTGGGAGGAGGTTTGACGGCAGGGGAATGCTGCTGGGAGAGGGTGCAACAGCAGGGAAGGCTGCTGGGAAGGAGGGCTGCAGCAGGGAAGCGTGCTGGGATGAGGTGTGACAGCAGGGAAGACTGTCGGAAGGAGGCAAGGCAATGGGGAGGAGGGAACAAGTGGGGATAGTCATGACCTCGAATGAATTACATACGAAACACCTTCTCGTCGTCAGACACAGCCCTAAGAAGAGAGAAACACCAATAGGAAGAAGTCTGAAATCAGAGATAACCAAGAACTAACCCTACACAAGCCAAAACAACAAATATATAATAGCTAGGAGATATAATAGGAAGTGAGGGCTCCTCCCCTTCGCCGACAAACGGAATCGGCAAGGAAGGAGGAGGTAGTGGTAAACAGAAAAGGCAAGGGAGGCATTTGGGAAATCTTTCCCACCTCGTGGGAGCGAGAGACGGGCCATCCAGCCTCCTGTCGTGCTGAGGCACTTCCCTGTTGAATCTATTGGCCGGTTCAGCCAAGTCCCAAGTCCCGCCCCACGTCAAAGAGTCTAATCGATTCATTCTCTTGCTGCTCCAACCACCCAAGATGAGAATTGCAAGTATGAAGGATTCAAGTGCATGCAAGAAATCCTTTTAAAACTGCATGGGATTTACTTGCATAAGTTTATTTTCTATTCCACTTTATTTATCAAAGTGTTCCTCATGCATGCTTCCTAACTTTAATCATCTCTTGAACAAAAGTAATCATACCATATCCTCCATCTACCCAATCCCTTTGTAATACTATTTATAGTTAACTCAAACAAAAGTTCACATAAAGCCCTATAATATAACTGATACCTTAGATTAGGACCAGGATTAGGAGAGGTAAAGCTCCATCTAGCTGAATTTTGAATCACATATCAATTATGGCTATTTTCGGAATCTAGGAGAGTCTAGCTGCCAATATAAAAGGGATGAAACTGCTGTGAAGAAAAAGAGCTCAACAATATGTTGAACTTAGATAGCACAACTTGCACAAGTAGCACACACCCTTTAACATGACTTTCACATCCAAACTCACAAACCTTTTTCCAACAGAGTAGTTAAACTTTCAGAAGTAATTTATGGCTCAATAAAAGTGTGAAAAATGTTTGAAACCATAAAGAAGATGCTTAGGGGTTGTTTGATTTGTTGAAAATGAAATGCAATGTAAAAAGCTTACAGAATAATGTGATTACAATGCATTTGAAGTATTTTAAGAATGTTTGGTTCACTGTAAAACAAATGTATGAATTTATATCTTGTTTGGTTTGAAGTAAATTGAAAACAATATGTTTTTTTGTCTGGAGATAGGGGGGGCGGTAGGCTGCTGGTAGAGGCGGCCTGGTGAGCAGATAGTGGTGGGAGGCGGCGGCAGATGACCAGTGGCTGGCGGCAATCAACAAGCGGTCGGCGGCAAAGGCGGCAAGGGCGGGCATCCGGCGGCAACAACAATAAGGGCGAGAAGCCGGCAGTGGCGACAACGGGCCGGCAGTAGTCAAGCGGCCAGCGGCGACGACAGGGAGCGGGGTCGGCGGCTTGCCAATAGTATTTTATACTTTAATGATGTAACTCAAATTCGGCCAAAATGAACTATGGTATAAACTTCAAATTAATTCATATTTTACATTGTATTTATAATTATTCATACCAAACATATAATTTTCTCAAATTCCCGCAAAAAATTACTGCACACCATAAATTCACTAAAACCAAATGGCCCCTTAATCAAACAGGAAAATGCTTAAACATGCATTAATATAATAAATAAAGAGAAAAAAAAAACTTTATCAGTGCAAGAATCTACAGTCACAAACTTGTAACAGACTTAAATAAGATCAGACAATCAGAGTGACGATACATGAGTGTTCAATAAGAGAAGCAATACTATAATTGAAAACAAAAACCTAAAAGAAAATTGGAAGAGTGATTTATAATATACCAAATCAATGCAATAAGTAACATGAGTTAGGAATTCATGATAGCCAATACCATTCAGAAAGTAGCTGCAATCAAAAATTTATTGTCAATAAGAAACTTGAACATAAAGTACCTGGTATCCTCAAGGCGCCCATGCAAACTCCATCGTTGTCTAAATCCTTCAATGCCTTCTATTCCACTCGCAAGAATCATGCGCCTGCAAATTAATATATCCTAAACCGTGCACTAGAAGTAAACTACATGAAGTTCATCTTAACATAAGCAGAATTTTTTTAAAGATAAATTCTTAAATTCTTAGTTAATTTACAGTAATTTTGCAGCTAAAATGTTGCTGAGGATTTGAATTAGAAAATAAGAAAGAACTATTCCAACACATGTTGGCTTCCAACTCCAATTCAGTTACTAAATAGTTTAGAGACTACCATAAAGTATCCAATTCAAATCCTAAAAATATTATGGTCCCATTTTCTTTCATTTTGTATCTTAAACAAAATAGACAAATTGTATATCCAAAACAGCACAGAGTATTAAATTAACTTCTTCTAATAGATTAACTTTAAATCATAAAATAGACATGTAATCTTAAAAATAAGGGTAAATTATATCAAATATTTCTATTATTTTACCATTAAGTTCAGTAAATCATAAAACAAATCACGTCAAATTAATCTTCCATACCAAAAAATGAGATACATGTATGTGTTTTGCGCATAAACAATTCATAAAATCATAGCTGCAATGTTTACCAAGTCTTATTTTCCTACCATGGCATGAATTTAGTTAGCATAATTACAAAAAGTGCTCAATTTACCTCTCCAGGGACGTGATCTCAGCTAAAAGTTGAGCTTCTCTTTCCTTAGCTTGTTCCAAAGGCATGACTAAACCCAATTTACGTTCACTCTCTTGGAGCCGTTGTCTCAGTTGCTTGTCCTACCAGCAAATTTACTAATGTCAAACACAACATGAAACTGACTTAAGAAAGATCTAGCAACATAGTGAAAAATACTAACAAAACTTGAAGAAGAATTTTTTTTTTTTTTTTTGACAATTCTGACCCTATTCTCAGCACACTGACGATATAAAATAATCTCATCCTGACAAAAGGGCTCAATGTCATTAATTTGCAGACCTGGATCATCATCCAAGTAAATCAATTATTCAAAAAAAATATTAATAAATAAATAAAACCTGATGAAGATTGATAAAAAAAAGACTTACACAAAAAAAGATTCCTCAAAATTCCATCACACAAATTAACACCTTCAAGAACATGTGATGCTATCTCTGGAGGGATGCGGGGTGATGGTGGACCTAGCATAAGGTCATCACCAACCAATATTGTCTCCTCCATGGTGGGCTGTGAATCAACTGAAGCACCAAAATAAATGAAAGAACTCAGAAAGAGAGCCTGGTAGGAAATTAAAGCACTGAGAAACCAACTGCAAATAAATCACATGAAAGTTTGATATATCACTGCAAAGTACAATATTTCCAACAAGTGAATAACTTAAAGTCATTTTTTCTTACTAAAAAACTTTAACTAATAAATTCTCCAAGATCAAAACAATGAAAAAATCTACTAAAAACCTATCTTTAGAGCTTGATAAGTCCCCCTTCCCCTTCCCAACTTTTTCCCCATTTTTTTAACTTAAAGTTCAATGCACAAGGTTATAAAACAAGATAATAAGAAAAAAAAAAATGATTTTTAGTTTATGCAGACTCCACAAAAATAATGTGACAGAAAGAAAAAAGATGCCAACATACCATCCATGATTGCTCCAGAAGCAGAACAAGAAATATCCAACAAACACTGAATTAATCTCAATATAATTTAATACCTGTACAAGGAAAATGGATACAACTAGAATAAGTAACCTTCCAAAAATTCATAAAGGAGCCACACATCACGCATTCATTGCCAAGAACAGAACATAGTTTGATCCAATAAAAAATTGCAGCTCTCTACCAACGAGCTAAAAGAAAAAAAAAACTAGGAACATAAGTTTTACCGTTAGATTGTCAAAAATGGGAAGCACAGGTCATCCAACAGGGAGTATTCAAAAGAAGGGCACAAAGATGATCGAAAGTGATTTGGGGTAGCTACACCGAGGAGGGATTTCAGCTGAACATCAATTAATACCAAACAAGCTATTTCTTGTTCATGAGCAAATTCATAATCAAATTGGAGCTACTCAGTGAATCAATAATCAATCTCATACTAACATTTACATCCACAATTAATATAACTTAATGTCTGAACCATCTAAACATATAAAGTCCCACTTTTGTCAATGATTTATGGCAATGTAATCATCTATAAACTATAAAGCTCTATAATATAAAAGAACTACTGAAGAAAAACAAAAAAATGAAAGCAAAATGTGATTAAAAACAAAACGGTGGACAATAGACAGGGATAAACAACAAGCATAAACCTAATAGTATCATCACAACTCATGTATCCAAGAAATGATAGACCAGAGCTAGATGAATAGGAACCCCTAACCATAAGATACCTGCAGCTGCAAGCTACTACCTGGACTATAATTGTGGTCTGAAGGTTATCTGCTACGGTGCGACGCTACGATCACCGGCCAGGTAGATGTGCAGGCGAAGGAGTGAACGGAATAGCAAATAAAAGGAGGCTTGAGAAATGGAGAGTTTCGGACAGTCAGAGGAAGGAGAAGCGCTACGGCTGACGAGCGGAGCAGCGGAAGGAGATTTCAGCCAAAAGCTAAACACTGATTTCGAGTGAACCAAGCAAGTTTTAGGGGCTGTTTTGTAGCCGGTTTTAAGCAGGATTTATACAGTATTAAAGCTAAATCTTGTGAATCAGCAGATTAACTAAAGCCGGGACGAACCAAAAGGAAGAATGGCGCGAACAGGATTGATTACCTGGCTTCAGATTAAATATATTCCGGTGGGGGGCGGAGAGAAAGGACTAGAAAGATGGGTGTTTCAGTGTTCTCTGTAAGCCGCGATCCACTCGTTTCCTTTTTTAGCTAGCGGCGACTGTATCGTGAAGGTTCGTTCGCGAAGGAGATGGCAAAACCGGTGGTGGGGGAGTGACAAAAGCGAGGGTTTTGGGGAGGATGTCGCAGAGGGATTGGGGCAGCGAGATAGATTTAATCTCATTTTGTTTAACTTAATTTTATAATTTCAATTGATTAATAATTAATAAGTTATTTATATATTACAGAATTAATTATAATTTGATAAATTTATTTGTAATTATATAATATTTAAATAATAAATAAAAAAATAGTTATAATTTTAAATTATAAAATAAAATTCTAAATATTTTCTAAATTATATAATTTATAATTGATTAATGTTAAATTATTGATTAATAAATAATTAGTTTAAAAATAACTATTCATTTATATAATTTATTATTAATTAATGTAAATTCTTTTACATTTATTTTAAGGCCTATAATGCTCATTTATTTTTTTTATCTAATATTTTTATTTGGTTGTTCAATAAATACTATTAAATTCTTTTAAAGCTGTCAAACAATTTTACAGAATTTATAAGAATTTATTTATTAAGATACCAAATAAATTTTGAACTTAATTGATTGATCGGTCGAATTCAAGTTTATTTTTATAAGTTTGAAACGACTTATTATTATCAATAAGAAAAAATTATTAATTCAAATTATTGTTATAATGAAATGATAAAAAGAATAAGCAATTAGAAGAAAAATAATAAAAAATCACTTGATATAAAATATAAAATATTATCTTTTAAATATCTTTAATAATCTAAAAATTTTTTATCTTATATGAGATTAAATCAAATGCTCCTTAATCTTATAAATAACCACCCAACACATATGACATATAGGGCTTAGTAAAAGCACTCATAAAAAAATTTCTCTTTTTAACGAAAAATTATTTCAAATTGCATGCGTCGTCCGATCTCAACCGTCGATCAAAGTAAAATTGTATTTTGATGGCCCCATTAAAAGAAAAACTCTAATTTATGGTGGAGATCCGGCTGTATAGAATGAATTTTTCCTTTTCAACAGCACGGTTAATTTCACACAATTGCAATAATTCCAATTGAAAACTTGGAGAGATAGATAGAGGTGTAGGTTATACACATAAATATTAAGAAATTTTTACATATCAATCATCTAAATTTTAAATATAATAGACTGATAATCCAAACTTCAAAATTTACAATTCAACCATGCAAAAAACTAATCAAAATTTTAAAAAATTTTGGGTGGTTGAAATGAAAATTTTAAATTCCATTGATTAATAATACTCCACCGGCCGCTCAGAGCTGCTATCATCCGACAACTCTCCACTACTCCCGGCATCAACAGAGAACTTCGGCGGCACGTGCGGAGGCACCTCACATCGCAGCAGCGCCCAATTCACGCCACTGAAAAAGGAATGGCAGAATCGCCCCTCCCCCCCCGCCGCTCCCGTCACAGACCCAATCCTCTTCGCCGGATCCTTTACCAAAAGGCCAGCTATAAGCTCCCGCGCCGCCGCCGAAACCGCCGGCTCCTTCGGAAACTCCAGCCCCCGCGCGAGAATATTCGCCAGCGTTCTATCTTCATTCATTCCCTTGAACGGCGTTCCCCCAAAAAGCAGCTCGTAGATAAACACCCCCAGCGTCCACCAATCCACCGCGCTCCCGTGCCCTTCTCCCGCCACGATCTCGGGCGCCAAATACTCGTGCGTTCCGACGAACGACATGGAGCGGAGATCGATGGGCTCGGCCACGAACTCCAGCCCGGCATTGCGGGGGCCTGTTTTCTTACGAGAGGCGTGCTTTGAGTTGAAGCAGGAAACGCCGGGAACGATGCAGTTGCGGAAGTTGCAGTTGCTGCTCCGGCTATTGGATGTGGAGGCGGGGGAGGGGGAGGAGGAGGAGGAGGAGGAGCGAGGGCCGCGGACGAATTGGGCGGTGGGGGAGCAGCCGTATTCGCTTTTGAGAGAGAGGTCGAAGTCGGTGAGCATTATGTGGCCGTCTGATCGGACGAGGACGTTTTCTGGTTTTAGGTCGCGGTAGATGACGCCCAGCACGTGAAGGTACTCTAGGGCGACCACTAGCTCTGCTGCATAGAACCTGCACGTTTCGGAGGAATCCATACGATTATGATATAAAAATGAAATATGGGAATAAATTAAAACAAATTTAACTGCATTTCGGGGCGCTTTTCTAAACATAATTTTAAAATATTTAATTAATTAATTTCACTATTATTTTGGAGAGATTTAATTTCTTTGGTCATTATTCCCTTCAAAAATTATGTAGGGTGCTTCAAAATAATACATGAAAATATGTAAATTATTTTCTTAAATGATATTAAAAATTTGAATGCTATGTATGTAAATATAAAAGTTTAGGCATGACAAATATAAATATACAAGAATTATGCTTATGTATGTAATTACCCAAGCTAATAATAATTAAAATAATAATCATAATAATAATTTGACTTTTTCTTACAAATCAACTCATATTTCGTCTAGCATAATGTAAATACACGAAAGCCAGCTTGATGATTGCTGCATTTTACCTTTTTTTTAAAATTATATATATAAGACATAAGTGTATCAAATTATATAAAAAAAAAAATTTAATGGCATATTTTTTTTATTCGTCACGAATTATTCTGTTGATCCAATATTATTTATAATGATTTATAGACGAGATATAATTGATAAATAATTATCTCAACCCGATATTAATCAATAGCCGGCATTTGCGATTTTTGTTTAACTTGAGCTTTAGATATTGGGCATTTTCTAAAATATATTTTTTTTTTAAATTATAGGAAGATTTACATATATACCACCATCAAAGCTTACGCACACAAACTTCATATTTCTACATATATACAAGTTATATGCATGAAAATATGTATTTTTGTTAAAGTTAAAATAGTGGTATATTTATACGATATGAAAGATTTAAAAATAAATAAATAAAATTAAAGATCAGATATCGATATCTAAATACATAAGAATTGGTTGGGAGATATATGATGAACATTCAAGTGTCTTAATAATGTCAGAACTGAGTGATATTGGGCTCGTTGGATTCATCTTATCAAGACGGTCGACTTGACTATCAACTCCTCAAAGTGTACATTAGTTTGACATTCCAAATGTGTTCAGAAAACTTCTAAAAGCAATTTCATAGCATGATTTGGTTCGGATTAGGCCAATTTTGGTAATATCGGGTTCTTCTGATCGAGTCGGTCATTTTGACTCTAAGTTTGCTGAAATGGGAGCTCCATATGACTTTTTATTCATGTTTAAATATTTTTTTGTCAAAAAGTTGTCTCAGGATCCATGTAATGCCACAAGATTCCTGCCGGATAATGAAGATTTGTTGAGGTAGTATTAGGTACTCCCTATTTTCAGGCTAAACAACCTTATTGCATGAAAATATCAAGATTTAAAACACTTTATATATATATATATATATATATATATATAATTGTATTAAAATTTATATAATTATAATATAGACGTAGCTTTGTTTTCTGCTTGTACATATTTATACCCTTTTTTTTGTTGGGTCGTTGGCCGAGCCGGAAATTTGGCCCGACGTCCCGCACTGACACTGGTCGCACCATTGGGCGGGCTATTAAGCCCGCACCGGGACCCGCGCCGTACTTCGATAGGGCAACAGCATGTCCTGAACCGGCGGGACCCGCTGGAGCTGGACCGGCGCACGAATTTGGACCGCAAGAGCAGATGAACCAGCAAATTTTGAATCGGCACAGGGCATTCGAATCGTGGCAGTTGGACCGGCTATGGAATCTGGACCACAACTTTGCCAAAATTTAAATAGATTTTGGCTGGTATTTGAGCAGATTGGAAGCCAGATAGAATTTGAACCATTTCTTTTAACAGTTACCACTTTTTTATTTGTAATGAGCGAATTCTGAATGCTGAAAAGTGGGAATATTAAAAGAAATTCAGTTTTCTTCCGTTTCTTTTTTTTTTTTTTTAAGATTAATTTTAATGTTAAATCTCATCTTAAGTTTCTTTTTTAGAAAAAAATCGTCTTCATCCTACATAGCAAATGAGCAATGAAATCTTTTTCATGTTGAGACCAAGAGAAAAGTCGTCCATGTTCTATGTAGTAGAAAAGCATCGAGATATTCTTTCGTGTTGCGGCGAAAATAAAAGTCATCTTCATTCTACGTAGCAGACGAATAATGAGAACTTCTTTTATATTATGAAAATGACAATTGGAGAACTTCGTTTCGTTGAGAACTAAAGGAATGGTTAGAACTCGGAGGATGCAATTTCAATTCTGATGGAGAGCGAGTTGAATATGTTAAGACAGACATATTACTTCTCAAACGACGTGGTCGTGAAATTGTCAGCTTTAGCCGACCGAGCGTATTGTTCTCCTTCTATGTATATTGTTGTTCATGAGGTAGTCATGAGAGTTGACCCACCATTTCTGCCAGCACCTGAGTTAATTGAAATCATAAAGGCGTTCGAAGTTTGTGTTGCTCAGCTTTTTTGTGGGGTAATGACAGTCATTATGGGGTTGACTATTTTTTTAGAAGTCGATAATTTTAAAACTGTTGTGCAGGTTCTATAGTGACACTCATGATCGTGTGATGTTTAAGCACTAAACGTTAGATTTTCTCTCAAAGGAATCGATAAGACAATAATTCGTGAAAATCTTCTTTGCGAAGGATTGGGAGGAGAAGAGCTTGAGGCTTGAACAAGAGTTTAAATCTTTGAGAATAATAAGCCTAGCACCACTTTTGTCGTCGTCGACAACTGTCGACTACATTATCCGTCGTCGGCAACCGCTTATCACCATCGGCCACCACCGACTACCATCAGCCGCCGCCGACCACCACCTGTCGGTCATCGCCAATCGTCATTAGCCGCCATCAGTTTCTAACAACAAATTCATTCGTATGTCGACGTTATAATTCCAAAGACTTTATAACAATCCATCGTTTGTGGGATACTGAGTCTCTGTAATCAACTTATAATAAATTTTTACAACTGCAGCAGACCCTGTGAACCTGTGGTTTTTTCACTTTCCGAGTTTTTCACATAAAAACTTCCGGTGTCTCTACTGATTTTTTTTCATTTGTCTATGCGTTAAACTCTCATGTAATGCTAAGATGATAGTTTATTATTTTATCGCCGTTAATCTTCTAGCGTGCATCAGTTTATAAGTAGCAAGTTTCAGGTGATGAGTATGTAATTGCCCCTATCTTTGAACCAATTGTATAATAATAAACAACATTCATATATTCATTCAGGGATCGGTTTAACTGAATCTTTTTTTCTAGAAATAAATTGACAAATATTTTCAAATTAAACATTCGCAATTACTCTTCTAAAAAAATAAAAAATGGAAAGAAAAAAAAAACAAAAAAGAAAAATGCACAAACCTGACTGCCCTTTCGTCGAACCTCTTCCCCGGCTGCCGCTGCCGGAGAAGATGAAGATCGCCGCCGGGACAGAATTCAGTTAGAAGACAACTGAGCTTCTCGTTCTCAGCGCATCCGTACAACTTCGGCAGAAACGGATGATCAAGCATCTCGAGAATCTCTCTTTCCGTCTTAGCCCTCGCACTCTTGTTCCTCCCATCGAGCTCCTCCTTATCCATAACCTTAGCAGCCACGAGAACTCTGCCTCCCCCGCCACCGCACGTTTTGATCTCGGCGAGATAGACGCTTCCGATGTCACCGCTTCCCAGCCGCTGTATCGCCCGCAGATCGGAGATCGCAAGCGATCCATTGGATCCGATGAGGCGCCGGATGGCATCGCTGGGGTCGTTGCAGGACACGAGCGGCGGCATGGAGGCTGAAGAAGGGCCGGAAGACGAGCATCCGTACGCACTGGACAAAGGGGAAACGATATCGGAGTCGAATTTAGGGTTGTGGAGACTGTTCTCAACCACTATTGGCATTACGCCGCCGTAGCTGGAGGGGAGATTGGTGGAATTGTGGGGGGAGCGGAGGGCGGGGAGGGAGAAGGGGTTTTGAAGACAGGGTGGGGGGAATGAGGTCAGGCCAAATGGCGGGTAGAAGGTATCCTGCGGTGGGGCCGCACAGGAGATAATTTCTTGTTCTTGTGCGGGAATGAAGTTTGACCGGCCAGAGCCGGCGCTGGATTTATTGAAGATGTTAGATGAGTCAAAGCGGAAACTTTAAAGTTAGTGCAATACATGGCTCACCTATTCTTTGTCAAATTTTGTTTTATGTATTTTTGTTTGTTTAGTGAACATTTATTTGAGAAAATAATAAAAAATAATATAAGATAAAAGGGGGCTTTCATGATAAGTAGAAATACAATTATATTGTGAGGGAGGGAGTAATTGAGAATTGTGGACACTATAATTAGTTTATATTAGATGTTGATAATATTTTGGAGAGCTTGAAGTATGATTAACAAGTCGTTGAAAACGAACTAATTTGAGCCATTATGACTTGATAATTATCATAGGATGTCTAAAGTTAAAATTAGAACTCCAAATTGCCAAGGTTGATCAAGAATACTTGGACACTAGAGTCGTTCAACTCACCCTTGAAGTCACATTTTTTTTTTACTGAGTTCTTACAATAACTTTTCATTGGTATTTTCGTTTAATCTCGAACTTTTATTAGAATTCTAGCATATCTATAGTTAATTATCGTGTTATTTACCTTGGCATTTTTCAAAACATAAGGAGGTCATTTGTCAAGAGTGAATAAGATAGAATTTTGTACTTTGACCAAAACTCGATCCCATTGAAATCCCTCTAGATTATCTAAGTAGATCCTCTGTCATATATCACTTTTTAAACTTGTTAAAATTGATGTTACAGTTTGTCAAGTACTAAGAAAAAACTCAAATCTTTAACTGCTCTTAGTGATTTAAGATGCATTTTCTTAAATCTTGTTAGAAGTTTTAAAGTTTAAAGTATGTGTTAGATCTCAAGATGATTAAGAGAGTTCTTATAGTTTTTGTGGATGTCAAGACGAACTTGTTGGGTTGATATTTTTGAACATATATCTTAATGTTAATTATTCTATTTAGCATTCAGAGTAAATAGATATGCACCTTAAGGGTATGAAGAGTCGATGATAGATGTGCTTTCATTGTCAATTGAATCATCTTGATTTATGCTAAATAATAAAATATACTTCAAATGACTCTCATAGGTGTTTACTTTAATCATAATTTGTTATTGTTAAGGTTTTGTAATTCTTATGCATTCAAAGCTTTCATAGCTTAGAGTTGTTGAGTCAGTTATTAAATTAATATAGATTACTTCTCTATTAAGAAGTCAAAGAGAATATTCATTAAAGAGCTTGACTCAATAATTTATTTTGATATGTACAAACTTAGAATATAAGATTTTTTTAATTTTATGAAGTTATTTTTATGTTGTTGATTTACTTAAATCAAGCCTTAATGTTTGTTTGTTTGATAAGTGGAGTATAAGAATTTGCAAAATATTTCAGCGACACGCCGAACTGCAAAGGTGGTATTATGAAGTATAGTGGAGAGTTAATAAGGATTTGTAATTATTATTATTATTATTATTATTATTATTATTATTATTATTATTATTGTTATTATTATTGCTTAAAAACATATAAGTGAACAATTTGTAGAATTTGTTTATTTTTTATAAGCTTTTGAGGTAAATAATTTTTAAATTATTTTACTTATTTTTTAATTGCCTAAAGAGATTTGAGGCTCATCTTTTATAGTTAAAGGTGTACGACACACCTTGAATCCAATCTAGAACTTACCCCCGATATGTGGTAACAATTAACGTCATATTGAAGATCTGACAATAACTCCCAACGCCAACTGCTTATAATTGTCATACCCAGGATACGATGACTTCTTTTGGACTCCTAAAGTTCTATCCATTTGGCTCTCCGCTACAGCCTATGTAACCAACTACAACTGACGTGGTCAATAACTCATGCAGCTTCTAGCTCGGGTCTGTGGTCAACATATATTATTGTTGCTCCCAACTCCAACCTTTGTGGCAATATTTCACCCCACTAATACGGTCTACATGACTAACTATGACCTACGTGACTTACATCCCACGCAACTTCCTACTCCGTCCTCTATAGCCAATGAAGTTTGTTGCAATTCATCATTATGATTTATGTAACCAACTACGACCTACATGGTACTTAGCTTATGCAGCTCCTGACTCTGATTTCTATGGCTTACAAACATTATTACAACTCACCACTATGGTATATGTGATCAACTATGGTGTGTGTGGCTCACAACTCATGCAACTCCCAACTGAACATTATTCTAGAGCTCAAAACTACAACCTTCATGACACACAACTTACGTAGCTCCCAACTCCAGTCTCTGTGGCCTATAGACATTGTTGCATCTCACCATTATAGCTCAGGTTAAAAACTACAACTTACGTCATTTACAACTCATGACTCTCAACTTCGGCCTCTACAACCCACAAACATTATTGTAGCTAATCAAAATGACATATGTAATCAACTACAAACTTCAACCTATATGGCCTACGAATGTTGTTGCATCTAAACATTATGACAGATGTGATAAACTACAACCTATGTGATCCAGAACTCATGCAGCTCCAACTCTAGCCTCTGTAGCCATCAAATACTATTGCAGCTCACTACTATAATCTACTTGACCAATACATGACATACAACTCCTGCAGCTCCAACTCCAACTTTTATGGCCTATGGATGTTGTTTCAGCTCATCAGTACAGCTTCTGTGGTACAAACCTTTTGCAAGTCTAAATTATGACCTCTGCAATATGTAGATGTTATTACAGCTCACCATTATAACATACATGACCAACAACGGTCTACGTGGCTCACAGATCAAGCAATTCCCAACTTGGTCCTCTACTGCTTATGGATGTTGCTGCATCTCGCCACTACGACCTACGTAACTAAATACAACTTATGTAGTTTATAGCTCATGCAACTTCAAATTCTGGCCTTTGTGGCTTACAGACATCAACTACAGTCTATGTGGCTCATAGCTCATTCAATTCTCAACTCCAATATCTATGGCATACGGTTGTTGTAGCTCACCACTACGTCCTATGTGACCAACTACTTACGTGGTCCAAAATTCATGCAACCTCCAACTCCGGCCTCATATTCTACAAACTTATTACAGTTCACCAATACGACATATGTGACCAACTTATACGACCTTTTCATGCAACTCCCAACTCTGGCTTCCGTGACTTACATATATTATTGTTCTTGCCACTACAACCTACATGACCAATTATGCCCTATGTGGCTTACAGCTCGTGTAGCTTCCAACTCCATCCTCTATGGCATACAGACATTTTTATAACTCATCATTATAGCCTATGTGACCAACTACGACATAAGTGGTCAACAACTCATGTAGCTCCTAACTCCGTCCTTTATGACTTATAGATGTTATTGGAGCTCATTATGACCTAAGTGAACAACTGTAGCATATATGGCTCAGTGCTCAAACAAATCCTAACTTCAGTCTTTATGAGTTACATACATCATTACAACTCACCACTATGGCATATGTGATCAATTATGACCTGCATGCTTCACAATTCATGCAACTCTCAACTCTGGCCTTTACAGCTTACGAACGTTACCACAACTATCTATGTGACTCTGGCCTTTGCGGCCCACTCCCAACTCGGCGCTCTTGGCCTATGAATATTGTTGCGGCTCAACACAATGACCTACATGACCAACTATGACTTGCATGGCTCACAGCTCATAGTTAACGCAACTCCTAACTTCGACCTATGTAACTTATGGACTTTATTGCTTCTCACCATTACCTATGTGGTCAACTATGACATATTGGTCCATAGCTCATGTAGCTCCCAATTTTGACTTACATGTCCCCAAATGTTATTACATTTAACAGTTATGCCTCTGCGTGGCACACAACTCGTGTGGCTCTCAACTTCCGCCTCAAGACCTACGTTGCCACTCACTGGCACAAACTATGTAACCAACTATGACCAATGTGGTCTACAACTTTTGCAACTCCCTACTACAACATTTATGGCCAACCAATGCTCCTTAAGCAACAATCTACAACATACATGGCCAAATACTACCATGGCTTTCAACTAAGTCCTCTAAGATAAGTTGATGCTACAATAACCATCTATAACAGTCATGACAGACTTCTGTTTTCACAACAATCGACTACGACATTTACAATTCGTTACAACTATTATTACTTAACTATCATTGCACATAAACATTATAATTTCATCTTCTCCAATTCAAGAAAAGAGTGGGCCTATGTACTCATTATTATATAGTGAGTTACTTTGACTTTGTCAGGCCCCGTGATTTTTTTCCCTTTACAGGGTTTTCCATTTAAAACTTGTAGTGTCACCTCCTGCTTACTTCTCTTTTATCTAATGTGTGTTGGATATTTGTTCAACACTAAGAAGCTAAATTTGTTAGCTATTATCTTCATACCGTGAATTTTCTTGCACTCGATAATTAAAATGTATGAAACCACAAAAAGAGAACTAAATTAAGCCAAATAAACTAGTAGTCAGCTAAATATTTTCAGCCAAAAACTTAAGGTTACGAATAATGTAAACCATGATATTTTTCACTAATATATATTTCACATATTTAATATGATGCTAAATCCAAACTCTCATGTGCCTTAACCCTACATGTATCTTCTTCAAACTCCTCTAAAAATAGCCTAATATCTTACACTTCCCTCTTAAGAATATATTATATAAACTATTATTTTGTCGAAAGATAAAATTCTATTAGCCATCAGCCAATTGAACTCTTCAAAAAACTAAAGCTTTATTTAATTTTAAAACAATGGTGTAATTTTAGATATTGTGAAATTGCTCCCTTCTCTCTAGAAAACACCATCATTTCTATTTGAGCTTATCTTTGTCCTTATCCTTTTGTTTTGCTCCTATAGTCCTATTTTAACTGGAAGCATTCAAAGCTCCAAACGTAGCCTTTGATATATATATATATATATATATATATATATATAAAGGTTGCAAAGTCTTTATTTGTAAGAATTTGGTCCAATTATTAAATATTAATGGGTGATAGCTTAGTCAATATATCGGTGTATGATGAACTTCGATTTCATCTCAATGAGTTTATTTGATTATAATATGTTAATGTGTTATAAGCTAGATTTAAAAGGACAACTTAACGTGAGCTATTGCTGGCCTGTGCATTGTCAGAGTAATCGATGATGCAATTTATTGCCTAGGAACAGGTAACATATTTTAAAGAATAATGCAATTTATTAAATTTATCATTTGATTAAATTTTGTTGGACACTAATATTTATGTTAAACTTCATAAGACTTTCAAAGCTTCCTTTCATCATCCGACACGAATCTCGAGACAATATCTTAAATAAGAAAACATTCAAACTTCAATTAAGCATCATCCATAGCTCTGATTTCAACGAACTTTTAGTCAAACTGACCAACTTAATGATATCAAAATTAGTCCAATCTGAGTCAAATCAAGCCCGGATTAAGTGATTAAATCATTTTTGGAAGATTTCAGGACATATTTGAAAGATCAAATGAATGTCGAATTCAGCGAGTTCATACTCGAATCAAGCGTCTCGACAAGATGAATCCAACGAGGTTAAGGTTGTTCAATTATGACATAATTAAGGCACTAAAATCTCCATCAAACATCATCTGATCGAGAAAAACTCTCTGGACCATCTGATCAAAATTCAATTTTTCTTTGAGGCATTTACATACATATCATTTGATTTCTATGCATTCACTTATCTAACATATAAACTTCACCTTTTTACATTTAAACCACACAAATCTTTCATATTACATAAAATCACTATTTTTTTACAATTAAAAAGTAAAATACAACTTCTCATGCAAAAAAAAAAAAAAAGCATATTTGTAAAAATTGAAGTTTATGCATTAGATATGTAAATACATAGAAATTGAGTGGTATGTATGTAAATCTTCCTTTTGTTTTTGTTTTTTTCACTAAAAAATATTGAAATGATTAAAAAAAAATAAGAATACAAAAATAATAAATGAAGGAGTTTTTTATTCCTCAAAGAGCATGCATAAGACTAATCATTTGGAAATGATTTCATAATTAAATACTGGCTGCATGGATATTTTTAGATATACTAGTATATAAAAAAAGAAAATTTATGTTACAATTATTCAAATATTACTATTTAAAATTAGAATTAACAATAACTATTTTCATGGTTATTTATATACTCGAATGATGTAATTATTATATATAGTTTTATCCATTAGGAGTTATATAGTGAAAATATGCAATAGCTATTTATTTATTTATTTATTTTTTTTATATATTTTTGTTTACGGGGCAAAAAAATAATCTGCAACCTTAACAAATCATTCATTATAGATTTCATCTTGAATTGTGTAGCAATCCAAGACATTTGTGCTCTTTTTTGGGTTTTTTTTTTTTTGTTTTGCAAAAGCCAAAGCCTGCAGCTCTTCAACTGTATAGGTTAACTACTTATCATATATTTGAGAAACTTAAAAAAAAGAAGAATTTACATGCATACCACCCAATTCCCATCTAATTACATATGTACCACCGAAACTTTACTGCCTTACATCTATACCACCAAAATCGTTCATATCACAACAAAAATACCACGACTTTAACCTCTTAAAAAGTGATATAGAACTTCTATAAATAGGTAAAGTGGCATATATGTAAATATCCAGCTTTAGATATGCAAAAACATAGGAATAGAGTGGTGCGCATGTAAATCTTCCAACAAAAAAAAAAAAAGAAAGAACATATCTAAGAAGCTTAAAAACCATGACAAAACATAATAAACAATAATCCAACATACAAAACCAACATGTCTATTTAAATTAAATAAAAAGCCAGTTAACTGTATGATTCTATCATACCAAATGATTTTTATTACGACAACAGGGAGGTCAGGGACTCACCTAATCACTCCAACTTGGACGCAAAAGAAAGTCCTTGGTTCTTGAGCTGATCCAAGTCTGCGGCTGGTGGATGGGACCTGGCGACCTTAGCAATGGCCTTGTTCTCCTCCGGCGAACCGGATTCCAGAAACACACCAACAACCTTCCCGTCTTTGACCCAGTAAGAGCCAAATTTTGGCTTCGCAGACGATGGATCGCTGTCGCCAAATAGAACCGAGTCGCCGACATTGTCTCCATAGAATTGCCATGATAAATCAAATGCACGAGAATAGAAGTATGGGAGGTAATCATATTCATCAATAACAACGCCTTCTTCAGCTGCCTTGATTGCCTGTAACATGAAAAAAAGGGAGAGGTAGGATTAAATTTCTAAATCTGAAGCTCCATGGCAGAGTTATGAAAGAAAGAATCAGTTATATACCTTTACGGCCTGTTCTGCAGATTTTCTTGCATGATCAACATGCTCTACTCTTCTCAGCTCGTTGTATAATTTCAGAGGAAATGTGGCAACATCACCCACAGCATAAACGCCGGGGACGCTCGTTTTGAAGAAGCCATCAGTCTGAAAATTAATGCAGCAATCACTTGTACAAAGCTTTACAAATTGAAGCATCTTAAACTAATTTTCACCCATGTGCAAAAATATGAATAATAAGCAAATGATTGCGTACTTTTACAGCTAGAGTTAAGAACAACTAAAGTCTGTGATAGGGAAATATGATGTAAATAAGAGTAGTAAATTTATAAATTCATGGAAAGTGAAATAAACAGTTGAAGTAATCATGGAGACGCTTTTGAAAAGTATTTAGACTAACCTTAATTCCTCCTTTCTCTTCATCAACTTGGCCTTTGAAAAGTGTTGTAAGAGGTCTTGCACCAACTCCAACAACAACAATATCAGCATCTAGCACTCTTCCATCCTTCAGTTTTACTGCACTAACCTGATTATGGTCTAGGAATTAGCCAGTGTGATGATAAATGATGGGAATATTTACAAACATACCACTCAATTCCTATTTATGAACATATCTAACACCCAAACTTCAATTTTCACATCCATACCACCTTACCTATGCATGAAAAGGTATATTTCAGTTTCAGAATGTTAAAATGGTGGTAATTTGATGTGACATGAGACATTTGTGTGGATTAATGTAAAAGGTGAAGTGTTGGTGTTAGATATGTAAATACAAAGGAATTGGTTGGTATGTATGTGAATGCCTAAATGATATAGCTGGGCAACGCAGCAATGTTCACGAGCTTACATCGCCATTAGCATCAGAGTTAAACCCATCTGCCACGGTCCCCTTGATTATTTTAATTCCCTTGTTTGCATAATATTTCTCGTAAAAAGCAGCAATTCCAGCAGTAAAGAGCCTAGGCACTGTGAAAATAAACAAGGCATTAGCATATTTTACTTGCTTGCGCAAGGACGCATTCAAAATTTCACATACTTCAGGCAATTGGGGGCCTATTTGTAGGGCTGTGAAATTAGGTCGAAGATTGTTAATCACTTGAAGATTGATTAGAATTTCGGCTCGGATCGAGATCGGATCAAGACAAACAAGCCGAGCTGCAAGCCAAAATTTTGCATCAAATTTTTTTCAAGCTGATTTTGAACCGACCCAAGTTTGGCTCGAAATTGAATCGTTAATAACATATGACTATAAATTTAAAGAGTTTAGCTCGCTCAAAAATTGATTTGAATTTTGGCTCGGATCGAGATCAAATCAAAATTAACGAGCCGAGCTATAAAGCCAAAAATTTTGGATTGATTTCTTTTTGAGCCTCGGCTCAAAATCGGATCATTAACAGCCCTACATAATTGTACTCAGAAGTAAAAAAAATGAAGGCTGTTTATCGCAATTAAATGTAAATAACTATAGTATACTTATCCTTAAAGCATAATTTCATGATTCCGAGTGAGTAAAATAAAAACAGAACTTACTGCACCAGGGCTCAGGGTACACCAATGTGACATCTAGATCATTTAGTTTGAGTGCTGCACCAAGTTCAAGACCAATGTATCCACCTCCAACAATCACAGCCTTCCCATTCTTCTTGCTCTTTATGACTTCCAGAAGCTTATCAGCATCATCAATCTCCCTCAAGTATAATATATTGTTGGCATTTGCCCCTTCAACGCTAAAGTCGGTCAACTTTATGACCTACACAGCCAAGGAGCCGTATGAAATATTAAAAATATCTACTTGGAACGACCATAATACACGTCAATTCGCATAACATGAACATATATATGTAAGAAATGTGCACAAGTAATCAGTTTTGCAAGGTTTTCCATGACATAGACATGCAGCGACGATGTAAAAGATGTAGAATATAGCATTTAAAACTATAGGACTTTCATATAGGTGATGTGATCGTCTAGTGAAAAATATAATATATAAGAAGAATGCAATAAAAAAGGTGCCTTCTGAGATGAATGTACTATGTTAAAGAAGCATTTCTATGAACAATTAAAGAGAAGTTATGTAGAATATTTCATGAGAAGCATTTGTATAAGCCATACAAGGAAATTACTGATATACCGATGAACCAGTAGCAATGACCAAATTGTCAAAGGTGAAAGTTGCACCAGCCGCACTGGTGAGAGTCTTCTCAGAAAGTTGAGCTTTCACAATTTCAGTGCTCAGGATCAGCTCTATGCCTGCAGTTAAAAAGAAGCAAATTCAGGAAATTAACATTAAACATGTTTGGCTGCATGTAATACATTTCAATTAGTGATGCAATATCTCCCCTGCCTAACACAAAAAGAATATGATAATATTACTGTACATAACAGCAAAACAAAAAAAAAAAAAAACCACGGCCACCTCTAGTGCTGTACACATCTCAGACATAGATCTATGAGCGGGCGATAAGAAAATGAAGTAATTATTTCCCTGTCATGTCATTCTCTGTGAGTTAAAATTGAAAAAATCTAGTCGGCTTTTCTGCATGTCTACCCTCGTATGTATTTCTGCCATACTAGCCTCTGCTAAGCCTACTATTTCATTTCCGTTTTTGCAATACTTTTATCTGCGACAGCTACTCTACAGTTTTGGAATAATCAAGTGAAAATGTATCATCAAGGCAACATTTGTGCTAGGCACCACTTGCTGAAGGAATTGAAAGAAAGGAAACGAAAAGGAAAGGAAAATAGTAATGGTAAATGAATTATATTGAAATTAGTTTTCATGTACTTTGGTTGGTTAGAATTTGAGAGAGAATTATTTTTAACTTCTTGTGGGGTAGATGAGAAATTGAATTTTTATTTCTTGTGGTGTGAATTAACACTGTCATTGTCAGTCTCAAGCTCGGATGTGAAAAATGAAGGGTTGCGTTAGGTAGTCGACAACCAACGTAAAACTTGTCGAAAAAAATCATGACATGAATCATTTTGATCATTGTGTAAGTGCTAGGGCGTCCCCTTGAAACGACACGATGTATAACTTGAATGCAGTGAAAAGTGTGCAAGGGCCGCTACACCGACGTTCGGGTGTAGTGCTAAATAAGCAAGGGTTCCCATATTACGGGCGAATGTGCGTAAAGAAGTTAACCCATGAAACTAATGAAACTAATATTAGGATATTAGGATAAGATCTTGGAAAGGATAAGATCTTGGAAAATAGGTACTCTCAATAGTAAATTAATGAAATTAGTTGATATTATGATTCATAGAAAAATTAATATCTTATGTATTCAAGAAACTAGATAGATTGAAGAAAAGGCTAAGGATATTGATAATTGAGGTTTTAAACTTTGGTATTTTGGTAAGAGCCGCACTATAAATGATGTATGTGTAATTATAGAAAAAAATTTGAAAGGTAATGTTGTAAAAATTAATAGAATATTAATAGAATTGAATTAATAGAATTGGAGATAAAATTATAGTTCTTAAAATTATCATTGATACTAAGATTTTTAATATTATAAGTGATTATGCTCCTCAAGTAGGTTAAGATACAGGATCTAAAGATAAATTTTGGAATCACTTAGAAGACTTAATACAAATGATGCCTCTTGAAGAAAAATTTTTTATTGTAGGAGATTTAAATAGACATGTTGTTAGAGTGGTAGAAGACTTCAGAAGTACTCATGGTGGCTACAGTTTTGGAGTAACTAATAAAGAAGGTAGAACTATTTCAGATTTTGCTTTAGTGTATGATTTTGTTATTACTAATACTTTATTCAAGAAAAGAGATGAGCATCTTATTACTTATAAGAGTGGATCTAATAAAATACATTGATTTTTTTCTTAGGAGAAGAAGAGATCGTCGTGATTGCAAAGATTGTAAGGTCATTTTAAGTGAGAATTTAAGTAGCCAACATCGTTTATTAGTTCTAGATTTTAAGATTAAGAGTTGTAAAATAAAGAATACTATGACTTATCATCGTAGAATTAGATGGAGAAACTTAAAAGACACAAATAAAATTATTTTTATGAGTAAAATTCAAGATTTTAAAAATTGGGATATTCATGAAGAAGCAAATGTTATGTGGGATAAAGTAACAAACGCTATTAAACAAGTAGCAAAATATGTGCTCAAAGGGAAAAATATTTACAAATAAAAATAGTTGGTGGTAGAATAATAATGTGTAAGAAAAGATAAAATATAAGAAATTACGTTATAAAAATTGGTTTAAATTTAAAAGTTTAGAGAACTGAGAAAAATATCAAACGGCCCGCAAGGAATCTAAAAAAACAATATGCGACGCTCAAAATTCTACTTTTAATGATTTTTATAATAGGTTAGATACTAAGAAGGGTTAAAAATATATGTATGAACTAGCCAAACAAAGAGAAAAGAAAAGTAAATATTTAACTCAAGTAAAGTGTATTAAAGATTAAAATTAAAAAGTACTTTTCTTAGAAAAGAATATTGAACATATGTGGGTGAGTTATTTTGATTAATTTTTTAATGAAGTTTCTGACAATACAATCGACCATAGTGATTTTAATATCGTGAATAATAATAAAACGTTTCATTTTTACCGTCGCATTAGTAAAAAAAAGTTGAAGAGGCTTTAAAGAAAACCAAGGGTGAAAAATATATAGGACCTGATGATATCCCAATTGAAGTGTGGAAATATTTAGGAGATTTGGGAGTTTTTTGGCTTACTAAACTCTTTAATATTTTTTTAAAAACTAAAAAGATGTCTGAGGAGTGGAAGAAGAATATTTTGGTCCCCATTTTTAAGAATAAAGGGGATGCACAAGAGTGTAAAAATTATAGAGGAATTAAGTTGATGTGTCATACTTTAAAGTTATAGGAGAGGGTAATTGAACATAGGTTAAGACGCATCACAAAAATTTCTCATAATCAATTTGGATTTATGCTGAACAGGTCTACTATGGAAGCTATACATTTATTGAGAGGTTTGATGAAGAAGTTCAGAGATAATAAAGAGAATCTATATTTGATTTTTATTGATTTAGAAAAAACATACGATAAGGTTCCAAGAGATATCCTTTAGAGAGTTCTTGAGAAGAAAGGTGTTGATATTACTTATATTCAAGTCATTAAAGATATGTATACTAGAGCTGTTACTTGTGTT